GGTGGAGGTAGGATCCCTCGGGCGATGGCCTCAAACCCAAGATCGCAGACCCTCGTGCGCACGTCTTAACCTCACTGACCAGGCCCTGCAGCCGCCCGAGCGATGGCCAGTTTCTATGTTCAACACAATAAACCAATTGACCTTAATCACCGATTAGAATTAATTAATTAACTTAACTAATTCATTAAAGTTTTGGATTTAACCATTCGGTCAAACCTACGACAACAGAATATCCAGTCAAAGCCTAGGTCAAACATGACCTAACCCAAGTCAAAGTCAAACCTGTTCAGCCAATTCACAATCCTCAACAATTCAATTCAAACAATCAATTTAATTCAATTAACCAATTAGGCCAAATTATAGCATAAACACATATAACGATCCAAACCATTAAATCGATTCTGAATGCTATTAACTTCATAGTATGGACCTGGATTACGTCGAAATCGAATCGATCGCTCGAACGGAAGACAAATCAACGAAATCAACCGAACAGGTCAAATCAAGTCAAAATACGAAATCGACCAATCAATCCGGCGTGGGGGTTAATCTGTCGGCGATATCAACTCGGGGCAGCGGCCGGATGCGGCGACGGTGACGGACGCCGGCGACAGTGGCGTAGCGGCAACTCGACGGCAATGAGCAGCGACTTGCGGCGCTGCACTCGACGGCGGCGGATGGCCGCTGTGCAAAGGGAGACGGCGGCTGGAAGCTCGGGAGACGGCGGCTCGAGGCTCAGCGACGCTGAGCGGCGGCTACCGGCGAAGGAAGCAGCGGCGGCGCTGCAACTCGGCGGCGGCGATGAGCGACCGGCGCTGGCTCACGGCGGTGAGCGACGGCGGCTGGAGGCGAAGGAAGCAGCGACTGGTGGCGATGATGGCTTGGCGACGGCGGCGCTGCAACTCGACGGCAGCGGACGACCGACGAAGAAAACAACGGCGTTTGGCTGGTGCGGCGGCGAGGCTGGGGAAGGGCGACGCTGGGCAGCGACTAGCGGCGGCGATGAATGGCGACGCCGGCGGCTGCTTCAATTGTACGGCGGCGATGGCGGCGGCAGGTGGCGTAGGAAGCAGCGGCTGGCTTCCGGCGACGGGCGACGGCGGTCTGGCTTGCGCGACCTGCTGGGCGGCGACGATTGGCTGGGCGGCGGGCTTCCAGCGGCGAGGCTGGCCGGGAAGGACGAAGAAGAAAGGAGAAGAAGGAGGAAGAAGAAGAAGGAGAAGGAAGAAGAAAAAGAAGAAAAAGGAACGGACGAAACGAAGGATAAGGTTTGAGTGGCTGAGGTTTAGGTTTATTTAATGGTCCCATTCCAAAAAGGATTGGGATTCGTACCCAAAATACCTGATTAAATGGTCATAACTTGAGCTCTGTAACTCCGATTCGCGAGCCGTCTGAACCGACGCGATCACAAAAATATTTCCTACGAGATGACATAAAAGTTGGGCTTAAAATCCAAATTATAATTTTAACCCCTTATTGGGCCCAATTCGTAATCAATTGCTCTAACAATTTAATTAATTCTTTTGGGCCAGGTTTCGGGGCGTTACAATTTGGGTACCTATAGAAGAAGAAGATGAAGAAATTGAAGAATGGAGCTCTCTCGTTCGTTCCCCCCTCCTCTTGAAACTGCAATTCCGTGCTCAATTTATAGACGAGAGAAATTTTTTTCCGTTGGAGCGTTTTGAGTGAAGAGAGAGAACAAGGAGCCATTGTTGACTTGATTTGGAGAGCAATTCATGGACGAACGTTGAAGGAGATGCGTTACTGCCGATTTGAATAGGTCGCTGCCCCTCTCCTGGTGTTGCGCTAGCTTCAATCGCAGGAAGTATTTTTTTTTCTTGCGTGAGTTTGAATTTGGGGGAAGGAGACTTGAGCTTATCTTTGTTTAATTGAGTTGTTGATGATGGGTTTGGGCTCCGGTCCAAACTCAATCTTCTCTTTTCAAACTTGAGCTTCAATTTGGCCTTTTACTGCAATTTATTCCAAAACAAATAGGATATCTGGTAACTTGGGTTAGGAAAAATAAAAATATTAAAATAATAACATGTAAAAAAAAGATGAAAAACAACTATTTTTGAATGGAAATAAAAGATTTGTAATAATAGGAATTAAAATAAAACTAAGCTAAACAAATGAAAATTAAACAATAAAAGTACTAAAAATGCCAAAAAGAGAATTAAAAATATTAACCCAAACCCGAGTTATCGAATACCCCCACACTTAAGAGTTGAACGTCCTCGTTCAAGGGCCAAAAGGAATATATTATTTCTTTTTATCATCATCAAGAAGAAACAAAGTGAACTTTAAACTCCCACACTTAAGACTTTATGCTCATTCATATTTTAAAAACAAAGTGAGCTAGAAATCCTAAAAGGATGGAAAACTAAGGTGTGGGTTTTTTTGGGTTCTAACAAATGCTCTAAAGCTGCTACAAAAAAGTTTCCTAGCGGAATCCTATGGTTTAGAGCGGCTCAATAGCAGCGGTAGGAAGGTTCATCAATAAGCCTAAAAATATAAAAATCGCACAATTTTCTAAAAATAATAAGCTCCTAAAATTGGTTTCTCTCTGTTTTCAGATTTTAATATCAAGCAATGGTTGATTAGGTAGCATCTAAATAGTATGTGGATGGCCAGTTCTAGAAAACAAAATTCTAAGGTAACCTAGAAGGATTTCAAACATTTTAAGGGCCATTTTTTACCAAGAAAAGAGCATAAGACTCAATGCGGGTTTATAAAGTATACACTTGCCATCTTTCAGAATAAAGCCCCAAGAAAAACAATGAGGTTTTTGGGTCAAATTTTGAAAACAATGCTCTAAATAAGGAGATATGCAACTAAGAATGAAAATATTTGGACCTAAAACCTTTTTTTTTTTTTGAAAAAAAATTTGCCCCAAAAGTTTTTTTTTAAAACAATGACACAAGCATGAGCAACTCCCCCCACACTTAAAATATGCATAGTCCCCAATGCATCTATATGATATGCAAATAAATCATAATGATATAACCAAGAGAATAAGCAAAGAGAAAAGGGAATTGGGGAATTCAACAAATAAAAGTATACGCAGCATCAATTTATCACTTTCCTCTCCTTGATGT